GGGCAAATGTTTCCAGAGAGTGAAAGCTTTCTTATGGTGAATATACCTATAAGAAATACATCCTCAAAGTACCTGAACACAATGATAGAGATTTGGATGCCAAAACTCTGAAACTGGTGGGTGTCAGGGGTTCGCCGCGACGGACTATAAAGAAATACATGACATATGTTAGATATATATATATATAAAGAGAAAACAATCATGCGGAGAAATGTATATAACAAAAATAGGAAAAGAATGGGCAAAATCCGCAAAAAGGAGGAAAATGGATTCGAGCAGAAAATAGGATAGGTAACCCGAGCGATACGTATTTCTGCTGGTTGGCTTCTTCAGGCCCGAAATGAATGCATAAATGCAACTACAAAAGTAGATACACATGCTCATACATCCGGATACGGGTGTAACCTGAGGAAACAAAGATGGAGAGGGGAAAAATCACACCCGAAGTCCACAACAAGAGCCACCCTACACATTGTAGTATAAAATGGCTAGAAGACCGCGAATTTTCAAGGAGACATCTAACAACAACCACGCGGCCGGTTATAGCCACTTGCTGTGGTACTTCAAGCCCAAAGGATCTACAAAGAGAAAATAATCATGCGGAGAAATGTATATAACAAAAAATAGGAAAAGAAAGGGCAAAATCCGCAAAAGGAGGAAAGTGGATTCGAGCAGAAAATAGGATAGGTAACCCGAGCGATACGTATTTCTGCTGGTTGGCTTCATCAGGCCCGAAATGAATGCACATCTGCAACTACAAATGTATTGTGCATTCATTTCGGGTCTGATGAAGCCAACCAGCAGAAATACGTATCGCTCGGGTTACCTATTCTATTTTCTGCTCGAATTAACTTTCCTTCTTTTTGCCCATTATTTTCCTATTTTATTGTTATATATATATATATATATATATATATATATATATATATATATATAATATATATATATATATATATAATATATATATATATGTTTCAAAGATGTATATCAGAAAATTCAAATGTATCAAGTCCGTCAAACAGGTCCATACAACTAGTCCATAGACATTATTTTCCTGCCGTACACATTCTATGTGTATGGGCCATCTTCACCCATCCCTCTACAACATCCCCACCCACCAATTAACTATCCTCTGAGGAATTTTTCAAAAATGATCAGGAGCCTCTGAAACGTCAAAAAACGAAGCTTAAGAGATTTTTTTTTCCTTTTCTGCCTATAGCTCCGCCGCTTCTGGACCAATCAGAGCTTTTTCGTCCCTGGCATAGTAGTAGCTTTCTGTAAATATTCTTTCAAAATCTGACCGGCACTTTCCAAGTTATAGCCGGGTCAGGATTACTGGACAAAACTGACACACCGGCCAACAGACCGATGGAAATGAGTGATATGGGTACCTATCATATAACATCCAAAAACATATATCATTTTCGCTAGTAGGCGTGGGAAGTAAAATATTAATATCTTTAAACAATTAATATCATGAGGATGTTAACAATTACTTAAAGTGGAGAATAATTTATAAGAAACATGGATCCTTCTAAATATCTCTGTTACGTAATTCTCGACGTCAACAGCTATCAAAAACTATCACTACATATTTAATGCAAATATATGAAATGTGATTTGATGTAATTTGACTTGTCAGCACCTGTACTAGAAAGAAAAAAGACAGTCTAATTCATTGTCCATATGATTACCATCTGCTGTCTTGTCTAATAAATCGGTGAGTCATCCCGGCAGTTTTTAGCTAAACTTGGGAATGGTCGATCGTGAAATTCGTGAGAAAACGGTAAACACTTTTAAATCAACCTACATAACCTTAGAATGTAGGGATTTATGATCCCGTTTCCTGTGTCGTTATTCATTTGTCGGGCACGAACCAACCAACTTTGCCCCATCGTTATTACACAACCAACCGCAGCTTTCGCTAAGTGAAGCTTAGCCTTCTTCTACGATACACTACAGAAACGAGAGCAAAAAGACTTCGAGCAGTTTAAAGCACGAACTCTCCTTTCGGATCCGAGAATAGCTCTATATTTTCTGTCTGGACAGTTGGTCAGTTATAGGATCTTCGATCGGTCCATGAAAACGTGTTGTAAACAGGATGTTTAATCTTATCATCTAATAATCAAATGGCATCAAGTAGGTTCATTTCCCAAGCAATGCTGCCAGACTATCAGTCAGCCAGTAGGCGTGGGAAGTAAAAATTAAAGGATAAAATAAAAATTATAGATTCTTAGCCATGTTTCTAATAGAAGCGTTTAAAATCTTCAAATATCTAGTTTTTTATATCTTTTAGTAAAAATGTACGAAGATGCATTAACCTACAATATCCCTTTATCATATCCCCTCGATCACTCCAGATGGCTTTAGTTATTAGATAAAGTATCACGTTTATTGCTAAAAACTGTAAAATTGAATACATTTTTTTACAGAAGTCGTAAACATATTTTTCATAAATTTAAGTGTTCAAAATAAGCAAAGATACTGAGTAGATCAAAGTGAAATTTTCCCACTTCAGTTGGCCCACTTCAAGATTTGTACCAAAATATGCCTTTATAAACGAAACTATTTACTTCTAAAACAATTTATTTCCTCAAAAACATTTTAGATACACTCTAGTCGTACAAAACACATATTTGAAATCACTTAGACCTATAACTAATAGAACATCTGAACAAATATACAATGTGCGAATAAATGCGCGAAGTTAACGAAGCAACAATTGAAAGATTGCCATTGGGTAACATCACCTTTATTTTTTATTATGGCTGAAATTCTTTGGGGCATAGTGTTAACCAAGTTTTGGCAAAAATTTGGTGTAAAACAATCCCATATTTCTTGAAGCTTTTGTCTCAGTTCGGTGATTGTACGAGCAGGATGTTGTCGTAGAACCTTTTCATCTCGTGCCACAAAGTTTCAATAGGTGACAGTTCTGGACTGCTAGAAACCCATTTCAAAAGTGGTACATTATTTTCTTCCAGCCATTTTATAGCCTTTTTTGAGGTATGGCACGCTACACCATCTTGCTGAACCCAAAATCTTGGCCGGATGTCAAACATTCTTCCATCACTGGTAAAAGCGATTCTACTGAATTGCCAAATATTTGTTTGTATCCACATTTCCATCAATAAAATGAAGTTTTCCTACTCCTTTTGATGACAGACTGCCCCAGACCATAATGGATGCTGGAAATTTCACTTTTCTCTTCAGACAGTCAACATGGAATGCTTTTTTTTTGCGAATAACTCTACTGCGACTGTCAACCAATACAAACTTCGAATCGGCCTCAGCACTCCATTGTATTGCACACCATTGTTGAGGTGTTCATTGTCTATGTTCTTTAGCCCATCTAAGCCTATTTTTTTTGCAGTGGGGTTAATAGTGGCTTTTCATTGGCCTATAACAAGTGTGCAACTTTAGGGTTCTTACTTCACTTTTTTTGTAAGAAAACTTACCTTGCAAGTGCTAAATCCCAGTTTGTGGACCTCTCTATGAGTTGTGGACCTCGAAATTCTCCTTCCAATAGCGTCGCTCCACAGAGCACTTAATTGTAATTAATGGGCATGCCTGTTTTTCACGATTATTCTTCTTAATGCTCTTCGCTCGACATTTGTGATATTACTTTTTTCACATATCGTGGCTTAATATTAACTGAACCAGTAACGTTATATCTTCTAATAATATTTCTCACACTGTACCTCGATAAGGTCTAACAAAGTTGCAATTTCTGAGTTTGGTTTCCCAGAATAAAAAAATTTAATTGTCATTTGAAAACTTTAACTACCAAAACTATTTTAAACGTATTCTGACAGCTGTGATTAATGAAAACAATTGTCATGGCTTTATTTTTCACAGCCGCCTATGCGTTTATAGACTTATTTTGCATTGAAATGAAAATAGGTCGATATGCTGTAATTGCGACATGGTTATTTTTATGCTGCAAATTTGATTAGGGAGTGAGAAGTTGGTGTTTTCTACTATATATTATCAAAATATTCATTGTTAATATTGTAAACCTATAACCCGTGCTACATTTTTATTATTTGTGTTTGATAAAGAAAAAACCAAGATTTCAATAGTTGGGCCAACTGAAGTGGGAAGGGACTCGTATAAAAATCACGCTCAACATTAGCTAGCTTGTCAATATTTGCAATTTCGTCTAAACAACCGCTTTTTACCCTCTTACCTGACCGCCTCTACAGGGTGATTCACAACTCATCGCCAAAAATGAAACATCATACACAGGACCACATTTTAATGCGGTTTTCTATGTATGAAGTATGTAGTTTAAAAATAAAAACAGTTTTTTTAATATCTAAGTATTGTCCACTTTCAAAAGTCTTTACTTAAAATTAACGTGCACCAGTGGCGGAGATACAGGGGATCAGTGGCATCATTTTTCCAAATAAAAATAGTACGCCACTGCTTTTTTTTCGAATTTTACCTTTAATTTGCTACAAATAATTACTCCTGTATTTTTTCGTAGAGTGCATTGTTTTCTTGAAAAATAAAAAACAAATTAGATAATCAAATCTTCATTTCAATAAAGACCATGATTCTTGCGGATACAAGTGCGGTATTCTTTTATTAAAGAAAAACGTATTTCCTCACAATTGATTGTGGCTTGAATTTGATGAAACGCTTTATTTATTCTTTCTTGTAACTGTTCAACAGTATTAATTTGTTCAGCATACACTAGTTATTTAAAAGCGCCCCACAAAAAGAAATCTAGGGGGTTCAAATCAGGAGGTCAACGTACGGGTCCATTTCTGCCAATCAATCGTTGATTAACCTCAAACACAAATTGTTTTCTCAGCAAACGCTATTTCGATAAACCTCAAGATATTGAAATATTCAAAATGCGTTTTCAAGAAACAGACTGGTATTTTTGTCTGATGAACGGCTTGACTTTGATTCAAAGTTTAATATGTTCCATGCTATATTCATGCTTTCCTGTAATGTTAGTCAAAAGTAAGCATGAAACTCCTCAAAATTGTAATAATTGCTGGGATAACCAAAGTAATGATTGACGAAAGGAGTTTTTAAGAGAGTACATTTTGCTACAAAAATAATAATGATACCGAGTTGACTGCACGCTATAAACTACTGATTAAAGAACATAAAAGAAAATTATTGAAAACAAAACGAGACTACCATGATAATAAAATTGCTGAGTCTAGTAATAAGAGTAAGACTGCTTGGGAAATCATCAGTGCCAATTCAAAACATACAAAAAGACAAGTTCCTGAGATTATTTTGATAACGATGTAAATGTATTCTCTACGTCATCCAAGGAAGCTGCTGACGTTTAATAATTTCTTTATAAATTCTGTATCGGAACTGACTAAGTCTACGACTTTCGGTGGGCAGCATGTACCAACTCTACATCCCATCAATACGAACTCCATGTTTATAAGCCCAGTTACTGTCATAGACTTAGTTGCAAAAGCTCTCAGAGCACTGTTAAATCGGTCTTTTGCAGAAGGCATATTTCCTTATAAGCTGCAAGAATCACTTGTTATGCCAATCTATAAAAATATGATATTACTAACAAGGCTAATTATAGATGCATTCCTTTGTTATCCGTATTCGCAAAATTCTTCGAAAAGGCTTATTATAATAAACTGATAAAATTTGCTGAAAAATTCAATGTCATCAGCAGGTACCAATTTGGATTTCAGAAAAACCTATCTACAAAAGATGAAGTATTGTCTATGCGCGACTTTGTCTTAACATGCCTTGAAAAGAAAGATAAAACGTGTTGTCTCTTTATAGATTTAAGCCGCGCTTTCGAGACTGTCAACCATGCTCTTTTACTCGAAAAGCTTAATAACTATCGAGTCATAGGAACTACGGTGTCAGAGGAACGGCTTTAAATTGGATAGAAAGTTATCTATCCGATAGGGAACAACAAGTTGTCATTAATAATGGTACATGTAAATTATCTTCTAGCACCTAGGTTGTTTTAACTGGTGTTCCGCAAGGAAGCATACTAGGGCCTCTATTGTTCTTGTTGTTCGTCAACGATGCGCCTATGTTCATTAAACAGCATTTTGTTACATTATTTGCTGACGGTACCGCGGTGGGGGTTAAAACTAAAGATCCAACTCAGCTCATTACTGAGTTGTCCGTTGCATCATATCACATGGAGAGGTACTGTGTAAAGAATGGCCTTGTACTTACTGAACAGAAGACGCAACTGACGCAGTTTTGCTTGCGAGATACAGATTGTGATATTGACCTGAAGATTAACGGAACCAGAGTGAACGAGGTCCAGGTCACTAAATTCCTTGGTGTTATGATCGATTCAAGGCTTACTTGGAGGGATCATATTGACTGTTTAGTCAACAGAATATCAAAGCATTGCTTTGTGTTATGGCAGTTTGTAAGTACTGCAGTGCTTAGGAACTTAGGATGTACTATTTTGCTTACGTACAGTCAGCCATGAATTACTGTATCGTTTGCTGGGGTAGCAACTCACATACATCAGATATGCCACTTGTGCAGAAGAGAGTGATTCGTATAACAACATTTAGTACCAAGCTCACTTCTTGTCGGGAACTATTCAAAACTCTCCACATCATGACGATATATTCACTTTATATTTTTAACTGTGGTTATAATCTAAGGAATACATACTATCTGCATACCCCCAACATAGCCTTGCTTTATCAGCAAATGGTCCAGGTTGCCAATGGATATCAAAGCTGTCTCCAATTTCAATGCTTTCCAACGCCAAGTTCTATTTCTGTTTTATTT